TTTTTTTTTTTTTTTTTTTTTTTTTAAATGCAATTCGCCCGTGAAACGAAATTTCACCTGCACGTATATCGCCGTAGCGAAGTTTAATTGTGGTAGAATGACTGCGGCCTCTTTATTTCTCTGAAGCTCACTTATAATCATGCCGAACATTTGATGAACAATCTCAGAATTTCGTGAGATGTCAACTCCAGATTCCAATCCGAGAACCTTAGACACTTCGTAGAAGGTTCTTCCAGCAGAACCTGCGAGAACGAGTGCCAATGCTACGGTGAGGCTGATCGGCGAGAAAACTATGTTGTCTTGTTGCTCTATCAAGGATGTGTTTCGAGTTTTGTAGATCTCTCGGTCTAAGTCCAAGGCAAATTTCAATACTCCATTGACGATGATGTTATTTACCTGTAATCGTTCCAGATATATGTTATTATCCTTTTTCATTAATAACGTATATTTAAAGTACAGTAAAAGAAGAAAGAAAAAAACAGTAGAATTTATAAGGACTAATGGGTGGTTAAAGGCGATTTATGAGGATAGATTAGTTTGTTTAAGTGAAAACAAACTAGTTCGACAACAGGCTGATATAATATTTCAGAAACATGGAATCAAAGTTGGATAATGACGCCTTTAGAAGATGAACTTCCTCTATCTTACAATTAGTGTGTATTGTGCAACGCGCAGAAAATGATTAAATGCAGAAACACTTCGGCAGACCTTTGCTCATCGCATAATTTTTAACTTGCATCACTGACAGTGCTCTTCAATCCTTCAACGCAAAGTTGCACAATTTAAAAAGTTACGTTCTCCGCGTCAACTCGGAATGTTAAAAAAAAGTTGAAAGTTGAAATTCCACTAAATTTGTTCTTCGTGCTTTTACATTCATTCGCGGACAAATCCCTTCCCTTTGGAGATGATATTAGACATTTTGCTAAATATTTGCGAAATCCACGTTTGCTACGATGCCACTTGAAATTTCAAACCAATTTTTGTATTTTTGTATTAAACGCGATCATAAAACGTTTCTACGATTGTTCGAATATCTTGATCAGAATAGTCTCGTTTCAACTTTATGCTAAAAGACCTTTTCTAAAGCTTAGTTGGCAATCTTTCTCTCGATTGAAATTGAAGAGAGAAATATAACATTTTTATGCTTACATGATTCTTCCAGTCTTCCAACGTGTTGTCTGAGGTCACAGACGGACTTGCTGCAGCTGCCGCTGCACCAAGAGGTTGTAATCTACTATTTGATTGCGAATAGACAACATAGTTTGGAGAAGCAGTTGTAGCCTGTAGGAGTAATTTATCGTCTGGATATATCAGTTGACCGAAGCAAATAGCCGTGAGGCTCAGGAGTATAAGTGTAATTGCCATTGCTGCGAAAAGAATAGACAATGGTAATTGCATATATTTTTGTAATCATGTTTTAGCAAAAAAAAAAGAGGAAGTTAAAATTTATCATACGGCGACTGAAATTTCTGAATAGAAATTTCATATTGAACGTAATTTTTATTTTTATTTTATTTAATTGTATTCATAGATATATAGATTTCCATGAAAAGGGAATCACAAATCGTCGTTTACAGACTGCCCTAATAACGAGAG